ACTACTGACCAGTAGTGGACCTGGGGCTCCCGCAGTGAAAAGCTTCGCGCTGCGAAATGCGGGAAGTTGCTTTTTGTCGTACCGGACCACACCCCACAATTTTCAGGGTTTCAGCTCAGTTTTTATTTTTTTAAAGGTCTTGTACATAAGCTTGAGCTACCTTCACAGGGCCCCATTGTAAAATACGGGGAATTGTAGGAGCACTGTGCTCGGAATCACGTGAAGCAAGTCGTTTTTGTTGAAGACGTGACTGAGCCTTGAGGTGGGGGTGGGAGCAGGGTAAATGAGCATTTTTACTTCCCTGAAGTACCACCCCTCCTAGGCCTGGTTCTAGAGGATGTCCCGTATCTTGCCATATCGCCCTTTACAGTTTTTAGCGCAATAATCACATTACTTCTGGAGGCATCACTTGCATAATGATAAATATTTGATTTTTATAGATTTGATTTCAGGCCTGCCCCTTAACGAAGGAGCGCCTGCACCGCTTCCGTCTGAGGACCATACTCCCTCTCCGAAAGTTGCTGCTCTTGTTGAAGAGATAGCCAATCTGAGTTTGCTTGATGTAATTTTTGTGATTTCTCACAATCATAAATCCCTTTAGGTCTGTTTTTATTAGGTGGCAGACCTTAATCGTGCACTGAAGAAACGTCTCAATATCGCTGATCAACCGATGATGCACCCTGGTATGATGATGGCTGCTCAGGCACCAGCGGCAGCTTCCACAGGTACGCTACAGATCTAATGATGTCAATCGATTTGATTCTGCATGTAAATCGAACCTGTTGTTGTGTGTGTTTAATACAGGATGGGGCATCAATATGGTGACAAAATAACTATGGCCCATTACGGACCAGAAAGGCCGAAATGGAATATAACCACGGCAACGTATGACCATATTCTTCGGAACTTGTGTTGAGACTTCCTGTTTTAATTGGCCGCCTATGAACGCGACAATTACCGTCTGATGGGTTGTGCAGGAATCGAGCTTTGAACGCATGACATCCCACAGAATATCATCTCCTATTTTTGGAGAACAATTTTTAACGATCCATCCAAACTGCGTTGGTTCGTGCACCCCTACCTCCAATACCGACCCCAAACAACAAGTCACTACGTTCAAATCAGAGATTTCTGCTGGCCAATCTTTGTCTAACCCAAATCAGACAGAGCTCTGCAGCAGACTCACAAAACTCAATCCGGGAGCCGGCACATCACCTTATTAATGAAAGCTAGGAAGTTATATTCTATTTACGCTGTTCATCCTGTTATAGTCTCTTCGGGAGTCCCTGTAATTAATTCGATTCTTCCCGAAGGGAGGCGTAATCATCCATTGAGAATATTGGGTTGTCCAGAAAGTTTACGCCCATTTTGACTCTCAATTTCAAAAGCGCATATCTGGTTAAAACAACGTGACTTTGCTCGAAATAAAGAAAACTATTACAATCCCCATACCTTTGCCTACAAGAAATTAGTTTTATTTGAACCGGTTGTTGGAAATGCTGGAGTTCTGTGAGCTAAGAATTCGGTGAAGGTCGTTAAACCATCATGTTGCGTTTCAATGCTCAATCTTTCTCAGTCCGACCTTCGAACATCGCGGTTAAAAGTTGATAGTTGGGCAATAGGTCTTGTGTAAAATGATTAGCAGCACAATTTCACAGCTCAGCTAGTTCAACTTGGAAGTCCGATGGGGTTGTGCAACAGTGGGTAGAAGAGCCGGCGGCACCCAATTTTCGACTTCTTTGGGCTTTTTACGTTCACCGCTATATTTGGAAAAGTTATGTCGGACAAGCCCAATTCAAAAGCAGCCTGTCCAACAGTTTCATGCAGATCTGGTTTGGTAAACCCTCAGCTGCTCTTTATCAGTCGCCGATATCACTAACCTCCTTCAAAGCTTTCAACATCACGAGGAAAGACATTTTGAATAACGGCTGCACAGCGTAGTTTTTGTGGACTCTGAACCAAATGCTTTGTTGATATCGCAACTTGATTCTACACACATTTCCGAGCAAGTTTGAGGGGAAGACAAGAACTAGAGTGTAAAGCAGGCTGCTGAGTATGGCTGTATTCCAAGACTTCAAAAAAAGTGGAAAGGTGATTTAGTGTTGGAAAAATAGTAGATTTGGATAGAGCGAGGAACGCGCTTTCTAACGATAGCGGAAACTTTCTGGACAACTAAGTATTAAAGGAATTAACTCTCGGTCTATCCACGAGCTCCATTTGGGGCCCACGCTAGAATTCCTCGACTTCTCTTGTTCCGGTGAAGCTGTAGTTCGGGGTTGGAGTACTTTCCAATTCCAAAGAATAAGCTGAGTGCTGTTTATTAGCGTAATGCCACTCATTTTAATGGCATGAATGTGGCTCACGCTAGAGAAGTAATTCCCGTGCCTGGAGGTTGTATGTGGGTAGCTGCACACATTGCAGCAACTTCCCACCTTGAAAAACCCCGTTAAGGCCCCGGGGCGTTCGGTTTCAATCCAGGGCCGCCTGGTCAATCCAGGACCGCCCACCTCCGGAAGTGGTGCGTGGCTGGCATAACGTGTGAAATCAGCTAGGTTGATTGCCGTATCAACCGATAGAAACGACTGACATCTCCAGAAAACTTGTTTGTACGTGCCTCTTTCCCAAGCCAGCCTCCTTCACTGCTAGTGGGAAAGAGGGTTTTGTTAACGGCCTTGTCGACGGTTTTTCTCAGTTTTTTCTCCACTGTCGTTCCACTTCGCATCTCTATACTCAGTTTCAATCGCCATAATACCCCCTTATTGAGCCCGACTTTTGCCTTTAAATAATGCTTTTTGTTAAGTATAACGATGTACTGTGAAGAAATCCTGAAGATGGGCTCTAGATATGCCACGCCGCTGCACGCATGATTAAAGGAAACGGTCCTGTATCAGGAGAGCGATCATTTTTTCCTAGGCCTAAAAGTGGGGGAGTTCCGGGGTAGATGACTACGTGCAGAAAAATGGATATGGTAGGAGCGGGAATTCGTGTAATGTAGGGGCTGTCTTTGTCAAAACACACTTTTAATTGAGCTCTTTGCGCATTATTTATTGTGTTAGAATGGCCGGAGAAGTGCTCTCTAGTACTGAACATAAAGGATAAGGATAAAGCATTTGCCGTTGATCAATCCCTTTTTGGGATGCGGCACGCATTCTACTTCCATTTGTACATTCGTAGTGGCGTTTGAATGCGATGTGGCCTATACAATGACTTGCGGGGCCAGCCGATGTACAAGTCAGTGTTTTTATCCTCCCAGACAAGTCTGGTACCAATTAACCGACCCCGGAGGGATGGAAGGCTTGGTTGGCCCGGGCGACTCACGACCCAGGATTTGATCCCCGGACCGCTCGCGTGGTAAGCGTGCCACTTGCCACTACACCACTTCCGCCCATAGAACATAGCATAAAAAACATAGGGTGCTCATCTCTCACCTAAACTCCATTTTCACCCATTTTCCCTTTGCCCACCCGGGAGAGCTTTCCGTTTATCTGATTTATGAGCTATTTTCGAAAGCTTGTCACGCACTACTTCTCGCATCGTTCACTCTAAATCGTTTACTATCGAATCTGTAGCCAGTTGTATAGTGTATGTTGTATAGTATGGCGAAACACTTGAGTTGGAAACACTATTTACAATTCCACAGCCACTCTTTGGCTTCTTTAACCGGATGACGAGAAAGACTTTTATGTGTGTTTTTAATTGAGAGTGGCATGACAGGCTGGTGATGATCCTTCGGTTACAGCAGATTTCGGAAGGACGAGTGACAGCGCATGAGCCGAGGAATCTTACTAGTTTCGGAAGAAGTGGAGCCATTCATCAACTGAAGCACGTGAATATACAGTAGCGGTCAAAAGTGTTCGCCGAAACGGTTTTCATGCTTCTCTTTTTTGCCAGAAAAAAATCAATGGTGGCCTCGAAAATTTTTTCTTTGAACATCCTGATTCTTTAAGACTTGAGGATATAAAAACACTAGAAAACATAGTATATCAATCTTTGGAGGGCGTTGCTCAAGCGAGAAAAAATAATGCACTGAAAATCGTTTCGGCGAACACTTTTGACCGCTACTGTATATAGAAGACTTTGGCGAGTCTGATGATCCAGTTGAAAGCCCTGCTCATTATTGCGGTGTTCTTGATTTCTAATCTCGTCACCATATTTATGACCCACCTTGTAATTCCAGTAGTGTACATCTCAAATTCATTATGGAACCTTTGAAGGCAAGAGTGTTCAGTTATGAAGCTATAGGTGGGAGGTGGTCTGTAAAAGAGAAGGAAAGCAAACGAAACCACCGATTACGCCCCGTACCTCCCCTATTTCAGCCACATTCCACCTTGGGATAGAGAAGAGGCGCGTTGGACGAGTTTCACGAACCTAACTCTACTTGCTCCAGTGCCAATAACATTGGATCGCGATGGGACCGCTGCCTCAAATGCGCCCGCGCTTTTCAAGCAGCGCCACGTGGCAACCGACAGCGGAGGGTGGGGCTTGCGGACGAAGGTGTGAGTTGCGGGTCGGACGAGCTCCTTGCGCCTTTGTCGCGCACTTTCAAGCGGCAAAAGGGGCGCGACATCAACACTTGTCCGCCTGCCTACTACCCCCGGGATGGAACAGGCGAGCGCGCCTAATCGCGGAGCGTGCCTTTAATCTCAGCTGAGGTTCCACTCGAATGAAACAAAAGGTAATGGGACATTTGACTGAATAATCTACATGACTGGAATGTTCGCTGTTGCTGTAAATGATGCATCTGTGTTTCAAAAACTACAAGGATTTTCGGGAGTTCGGGGCTGAATTCCTTGTTTGAATGTGGTTGAAGTAAGTTTTTGGGAAGCCGGAGTTATGTGAATACACATGTCTGAAGTTTCATATAGGAGAGCTAGTTGCTCCGTCATTGGGTGCAGTTGATTTGAAGGTTAAGAAAAAAACTCGGAGAAATTAGTCAATCGAATGTTCTTGATAGCGATCAAAGTTCTAACGGGTAGCAAGATTCGAACGATGACGCCTATGTGCTGTTGCCCTTGAAGCGAAAACGAAGCACACTTTCTGCATCTTAACGATTTCAGATAGGGTTGGAAACGGTCCGTTTTCGGGTGATTTCATATAATCTTTCGATCATTACAGAAGCAGCCAGTTCATCGGAGCCTGACGTGCCACAGAAAATGACGTTTAGCGTGAAGCTAACCAAGTTTGACGATGCCAAAAAGATTGCTCTTATCAAGGAAATCCGCACAGCTATTTCTGGTCTCAACCTCGTGCAAGCGAAGAAGGTTGGAATTGGTTGTTTTCACATGTAAGAAGTGAGTAATGTTGTAATTGTATTGCAGTTCGTTGAAACAGCGCCGGTAGTGGTTAAAGAAGACATGGGGAAGGCGGAAGCTGAGGAGTTGAAAGCTACACTTGAGAAGGCAGGCGCGACTGTTGAAATAGTTTAAATTAGTTCTTTTTGTTATCTAGTTGATTTTACACATACATCTTTTTGTTGACTATCCGCTCTTTACACTGAGGGGATACTGCCTTTCAAGTTATAGATATTTTGTTGTTGCAGCTATTCGAGTAGTAATTTTTAATAGGAAGATCTTGAAATATATGTATAGAGAGCATGTTCATTTTTTGTTTCAATTTGCGTCAATTTGCGGTTTATCGAATCAATGTGGCCCGATTCTGTCAATGAACAGTTTGAAAGTCAGTTGTTTTCATGACAGGAGCACCATACTGAAATAGTTGACCCAGATTCTTATGGAGAACGACATCATAGTGTTAATGTAATCACACAAGCAATTACAGTCGATATACGAAAGTGGGGTAGGCGTGTCACCGGAAGTGACGTGCACTTGATAGAAGTTGCGTGGATAAGCTGTTGCCAGCATGCTTTGCTGATATCCAGCGATGTATGTTGGAAGCAGCTTATCCACACAGCTTCTATCAAGTGCACGTCACTTCCGGTGACACGCCTACCCCAACCCTGGGTTATCGAGTATACAGCTTGTTGTATAATGTTCTTGATCGCGATTCTTTGCTACAACGGTTCATCATAGCATCAGCATGAACCGCTAGATGGGGCATGTGCGTGTTGTAAGTCCTTTTTTTCCTAGTGTTACCCTCGCGCCGTCGCAGAGTCCACCTTCTTTGTTATCGTCGCCGTTTTATTGTCAGACATCTTCTGTCGTAGCCTTAACTTCAACGGGGTCCTTCATTATAATGTCGCTGTTCCCCTTCTTTGAGATCTATTATACCGCTTGCTCCGAGTCTCGAATTCATTGCTTTTTTATTGGGTGGTTTTGTGTCCTTGTTAGATCTTGCTCGTTACATTCATGCATGTGTCCCGCGCTCTTTCACGGGCAGCTGCAAATAATGTCCACGTCCCTGACCCAGTCAAGTTACCAGGACGATTTCTCAGTGTGGTTGATTGCCACAACATTGCCGCTTAAAAATTAGCACCTAGCTATCGGGCGTACTCAGGCTTGCTTCGCAACAAGTTCGTGCTGGGGAAAACCTCTGCTTCTCGTATACGGAACGAGTGGTAGTGCGAAAAAAGTAAATACTTTCAGTCAGGAAGTCGAGGCTCCCACAGAGGTCAGAATGTTGACCTTGTGGTCAAGAAACGGATAATGGAAGAGGAAACCTATAGGAAGAAAAAAGAAGTCGGTGAAGAAAGGAGAACGTGAACTTCATCGTGGGTGCTCCACCCACGATGAAGAAGAAAATCATATAAAAGAAAAAAGGTGAGAGAAGAAAAAGGGAAAGAAAGATTACGACCATATCAGGAAGCTTACGCAAGCCATACCAAAGTTTAGCACTTAGAGCGTATGAAGAAAAGGAAAGATGACCTCGTTCTGAGCGCGTACGAACCACCCAGGCGCTGGATGACTCGAAAAGACCCCTTTGTATGGGATACATAAAGAACAATCGAAAGAGGAAGTAATAGCTTCTACCCAAATCTCTATTGCTTTAGCGACTTCATAAATCAATATCACAATGGCCGTGCAACAGTGAGCCTGGGGTACCCCCAGGCAAGGTCGGTCTATCGTTGCTACTTTTTGGATTTTTAACGATCCCCCCCCCTTCATGGGCGATTTGGATACGACCCCCCTGTGTGTAGCTCAAAGTGATAAGATTATTTAAACAATAATAATACTATATAATAATGCGCTAAGTCTTAGACAAGAATGCTGAATTTCGGATCAAATTTCATAAAAGACGAGTTACCTTTCCGAAAAACAGCGTACGCATGGAATTTGGACATAAAGTCATTTGTGACGCGGACCTCATGGCTGAGGCTAAGACCGACGTCATAGTCGGCGACGGAACAAGCGATGGAGCGATCGCGATCGCTCCATCGCTTGTCCGTCGCTTGCCAATCGCTCTTCGAGCGATTGGCAAGCGATTGCGCAATCGCTTGCAAAGTGCACAAGCGACGGGCAATGGCTCTGCTCGATCGATACCGCAGCCGACTGCATTGACTGGGGGCGGGGCCAATCGCCCGTCGCTTGTGCACATTGCGCAATCGCTTGCCAATCGCTCGACCGAGAGCGATTGGCAAGCGACGGACGCGCGAACTATTGACGTCGGGCTAAAGGATTGACAGGTTTGAATGTGGTGGATCGCGCCCTCGGTGACTGCAATGGGGCGCGTTTGTTGAATGGGAACAGGTGTCGAAAGGGGAAATGAGAAGTAGAGGAATTTTTCCTTGTAAAATTTCAGGTTCCTCGGAAGACGGAGGTGGATTCTGGATCACCGACGGTCATCCTTCTTAAGTAGAGCGGATTTGTTCTTAAACAATCTGAAATAATTAAGTTATTGAGCAAGAATGAATTTGCACTACAATTTTCACCTTCCTCTTTTTAGGGCTATAACTTTCTTCATATTCGAGCTTTTGCGCCGGAGTTATTTGATTAAAAAATTCAAATCATTCTCTCTCCAATCATGGCTGAGAATTCATCGAAAGCTAATTTAGTAAAAATTTAGCACGTTGGAACTTTTTTCTGTGCAAATGCGACTTTTCAACCTTTAAACGACCATAACTTCCTTCAAACTCATTTATTTGGGAAGCTGAACCCGGTATGAGAAACTACAGGATTCAAGCTTTCTAAAATGCACCCGAACGTTCTTGAAAAGTCAGTAATTCAAAAATTAGTCCCGTTGCTACATTTTTGGAGGGGCATTCTCCAAGCCATTCTCTTAAGAAAGCGGTTTTTTTAGGTTTCACTGGCCGCAACCTCCAGGGAAAACAATATCGTGCTGACCATAGGATGTGTTAGAATGCTTTGTGCATGCGCTTGCACTGATATCCCCTGCCTTGGTGTGCGCCACGCCTCGGTCGCGCTTCCTGATTAGCTGATTCATTTGAAAGCTCATTCAGAAGGAAGCGGCTTACAGATGCTCTAGCATCAATTATCTTGCGTAAACGTAATGTGGTGACTATTGTCCATGTTGTCTTAGGCAATACTCCAGCTACACTTTAGTTTCAAATGTGGTGGCTCAAAATGTGGTTTCGTGGGTGGACCCATGTCATGGTGGGAGCACTTTTTGAACGATGCTACATGTCTTGCAGCTGCTGTTTCTGCAAGTCTTCCTTTCTCATGCTCTTCCTGAAACATGGTTATGATCAGTAGGGAGATTACCACAAATCCCACTGCCGGCCACCGAGAGAGTACGACCCCCCCCTCCGGGTCCATCCAAGTACGACCCCCCGTTGCTACTTGTAGCAACATAGGGTTGACCCTGCCCCCAGGAGGCCCGTCGCGCGGCAAGAAGGCAAAGTCAGCGGACGAGTCGCGCGCGTACTATAGGGATTTCGCGTCAAGTTAAATAGTGTCCCACTGCACGTCCTACACCACGCGCTGCAACTCGTCCGTGCCTTCTTGCCGCGCGATGGGCCTCCTGGGGGGTACCTGTGAGCCCGAGGCAATACGGAGAGCGACCGTCCTTGGCGTTCCTCCTCCGCGAGTCGCTACGCCATCGCGGCTTCTCTAATGCGTGAACATTGCCAGCGCCTGTACCGTGAATAATTACTCGATCCGTGTTTACTCCATTGCGCAGAGCTTCAGCTCCTACCCTGGGTATCGGACAATTTCCTCACGTGCTCAGATGATAAGTCCCATTGCTCGTTTGAAGAGAACTTGTAACCAACTCGTTGCCACGCAGGACTTGGCATTAAGTAAGCGAAAAGATCTTACGAAATCAGTGAGTATCAACACAGGCACAGCACAAATATGGCTTGGATTTCATGATTTCATTTCAAGCCTTGACCTCTATTGAGAAATGTCCATTTTCACCTCGAGCGAGAGAAAGTGCAACAGTTTGGATGAATACTTTAATGACTTAGAGCTTCGGGAAATTTCACTTAGCTGAAGGCAATGGCAAATCAAATCCACGATAAACTTGCAATAGGCAATCATACTATTAGATTGTCTCATAAGTTCGTGCCACTTTTTTGCACCTCATGCCAAAACTTCATTTAGCGATTTCTGAATATGACCAAGTAGGCTACGAAGAGCCCACTTCGTGGAGTAACCTATACCCGAACCATGCCCACCTTAGCTGCTTTCTTCGAAGTCAAAATAGAAAAGAAAAGAGCCATGTTTCCACGCTTTGATTTATGGACTTCCTTTGAGCTACAAATCGGTCAGAGCCAGGAATACCATTTGCTTTGCGACCCATCTCCTTGTCGTCGTTCACTATGTGGTATCAAAATGGTGAAACCTGCTTCGCTGTGGAGACTACAGCCTGGAAAAATTCCTCACGCAGGGCGAGCAGTGACCAATTTGGACCTGCTGTGCTCTCCCATTGAAACAACCCGCGCGAGTTTTTTTTTGCTGTCGTACCCAACACTTTTAGCCATAGTGAGAGCTTCTTAGGTGGGTCTGAGCCTGAACTTCGCCTTGAAACAAAGAAACCCTCATAAATAGATCAGTAATCACAAGAGTGCAACACGATTTCAGTCAACGTCCTGTTCTGGTCCATCCTAACGTGGTTGCTGAACAACGATTCTACTGTCGATGAGAAGTGGTGGTCCCATGCTAACCAATCGCAGAAGCTTCAGTATTTGTATCGATCGGAAGGGGCTGTCGACCGCAGCAAAACTTTGTGGTCCACGTATTGGATGTAAATCGCAAATCACTCGCTAGAAACTTCTTCCCAGTTTCGGCAGGTCAGGTCTCCTGTAATCAATTCCCGAACAGTTAGAAAACTTCAACTATTACCCCCAAAATTCAATAAAATATGGCCGCTCCACGGCAACCCAAACCTCGTGTTTTGAATATGAAACGGCTTCATTTGGAAACTTAGCTGAGCAGCCCCACTAGATTCACTGGGTAGCTGATCAGCATTCTTTCAGAGGTCATCTACTCCTCTTGCTGAGGAATCATCTTACAACCAAAAACACAATCCGAAGGAGTAATCCGAGATTGATCGCACTATCTTTTTCAGCTTC